GGTCCCTGTGTTTTGCCGAGCTTGTTCCAAGTAGGTGCTCCAGACCACTGAGCCATCTCTCCAGCCCTTGTTGTTGGTTTTTAAAAGAAAAGTTTAGTCATTCCAGTAGATATGTGGTGATACCATGTTTTAATTTGTTAATGTGTTCTAATGCAAAATTTCCTTGAATGATGTTGAACATCTTTTCATGCACTTTTTTGCCATCTGTACGTCTTGGTGAAATCTGCAGATCTTCTGCCTGTTTCATAGTTGGACTGTGTACTGTTGTGATACAAGAAGAAACATACTTGGTCTCCCTGTTCCCTGGCACACGTCTATCTCCTAAAACCCTTGGAGTCCCCAGAGTGATGCATCCTTTGTACATTAAGGAGATTCCTGGTGTTGGGGCTCTGTTGAGCTTTAGGAGAAAGACTTTCAGCAAAAGACCAGGGTGTGATTGGAAGGTTGGAACTTCAGCCCCCACATGCCTCAGAGAAGGGAGAGGGCACTGAGGGCTGAGTTGATGGCCATGGCTGATGGTGTCTTCAGACCTGTGGAGTAAAGTGCCCCTCAAGATCCTGAAGGACAGGAGTTGGAGAGCTTGCAGGGAGGCTCCTGGAGGGCTGTGTGCGTGGAGAGGGCCTGCAGGCCCTACCCCACCTTTGTCTTGCTCTGTGCCTTGTTCCCACCTGGCTGCTCATGTGTGTCCTGTGAAATGTAGCTTATAATAAACCAGGAAATGTGTTTCCCTGTGTTATGTGAGCTGTTCCAACAGAGTAATTGAGCCCTAGAAAAGGGTTTTAGGGAGCCGCAATTTAAGAGCCATAGGCCAGGGCACAAGCACTAAACCTGTGGCTTGGTTTGATGCAAGTGGAGCACCTAGCCCCTCACTCTGGGTGTGTGGGGTCTGGTGCTGTCCAGGGAGAGAGGGCCAGAGGTGAAGAGAACTCTGGGATGCCCAGCTGCTTGGAATGTGGGGAAGACCCCTGCCTTTTCTGGCCTGCTCAGTTCTGTGCTGTGTTGTATGTAAGGGTAGGCAAAACGCTTTGGCTTCTCCCATCTTATAGGCTGTTTGCTTTCTTATTGTTGGTTTTAAGTACTACTAGTATATATTAATCCTTTATCAGATTTGTGTTTTGCGAACATTTTCTCCAATCTGTGTCTTGACTTTGCATTCTCTTCAGTGTTTTCATGGAGCAGAAGTTTTTAATTTTAGGCAAGTCCAGCTTATCAGTTTAGTCTTTTGTGAATTATGTCATTTGCATCTTATCTAAACATTTATTACTAAACTAAAGGTCATAGATTTTCTCCAATATTTTCTTGTAGAAATTACTTTTTTTGTATTAGTGCATGTTTTTGAAAAATTAGTTTATTGTATACAGGATTTTACTGTCAGTTCAGATTTGTAGTGATCCTTCTGTCTCAGTCTCCCCAGTGCTGGGATTATAGGCGTGCACCACCATGCCTGGTTTCAGGCTGGCATGGCATGTGGTACCAGGGATGGAACTTAGGTCCTTGTGCTTGCCAGGTAGGCCCTTCACTTGCTGAGCTATCTTTCCAGTCCATTAGTGCATGTTTTCAAAAC